GTGCTCACAAAGATTTATGGATAAAAGCTAACATAGAAGCCGGAAAAATTATAGATCCTACCATTAGTACTGGCACTCCTAGTGGATCTGGTTCTAACCAAATTCAACAACAACTTGACCCTGCTTCCGGTCATATTTTACCCAAATATAACAAAGATAGAGATCGTGAGAACTTAGCAAAAATGGTGGCGGTCTGTGGCTTACCTTTTACGTTTCCTTCTCACCCTGCTTTTGTGCATTATATTCAAGAAATGTATAACCCTGCTTTTCAAGGTTTTCCCAAGACCACGGTTAGAAATGATGTTTTTAAATTTCAGACTGAATATCTTCAGTATATTCGTTGTGTATTTTATCACTTGGATTGTAAAGTGTCCATCACATCTGATATAGGTCGTAGTCCTAATGGTTGTGATTATTTAACTGTTACGTGTCATTGGGTTGATCATCACTGGAACTTGCAAAAACGTATTATTGGTTATAAATTTGTTGATTCTAAACACACTGGAGCATATATTGCAACTACTGTTCTACAAATACTTGATTTTTATGGGCTTATTAATAAAGTTCTAACTATCACCTTAGATAATGCTTCTGCTAACACAACCGCGGCAAATAGCTTAAAATCAAGACTTTGTCCAATTAATCCAACAATTTTTCATGTTAGATGTGCATGCCATATTTTTAACTTGGTTGTAAAAGATGGTCTTAATTTATTTTCTGATGCTTGTAGTAAAATACAACATGCTTGTGGCTATATTTTTCGTGCTCATAAACAAAGTAGAATTCTTGAATTTGCTCAACAATGTGCTAGTGCTGACCTTCCATTTAGAAAAGTTCCAAAAGATGTTTGTACTAGGTGGAATTCTACTTATGAAATGCTTAAAGTTGCTTATGATTATCGGGTGCCCATCCAAAAAGTATTTAATATGCATAATGCTTACCCTGTTGATCAAATTGTTGATTCTGATTGGGATGAAATTAGAGAGCTTACTAAATTTTTAGAAAAATTTTATTATGCTACAAAACAATTTTCTGGTATATACTATCCTACTATTACACAAATATTATGGTATGTTTGTGGAATTTCTGTTGTATTTGGTAAGTATAAAAAAAATCCAACTTATGCACCAGCCATTAAAGAAATGATTTTAAAATTTAAAAAGTATTTTTTCCCTATTCCCGAAGTTTATTTAATTTCTACACTACTTAACCCATCTTTAAAACTAAGAGGTGCAAAGGGTCTTGTTCGTAAAATTTATGAGAATTTAGAAATTCAAGAACATGAAGAACCATCTCTCGAAAACTGCCAAGCTAGCATATATTTTTATGCTAGATCAATGTTTGATAAATATAAATCTATGGATACAACTAGTATTGAAATTGCTCCTTCTACTTCTAAAGCTGGAGCAGAAGTTTTATGGGAAGATATGGATGATATAACAGGTTTTGATTCCTCTATTGATGATGAACTTGATTTTTATCTTAATCAAGGATTGAAAAATATTAAAGACGAAGAAGGCAAGGAACAACTTTTGTCATGGTGGAGGGAGCGTGGCAAGGCTTTTCCAACACTTTCAATTATGGCCCGAGATATCCTGGCTATTCAAGCATCATCAGTAGCATCGGAGAGCGCTTTTAGCGCGGCAAGATTTCAAATTGGAGATCATAGACATTCATTAGCGGAGGACAGTCTAGAGATTTCCGTCTTATTCAGAGATTGGATTAATTCAGAAAGAGAAATCTTGGTTTTGAAAAACTAACCACTAGGGAGGAAGAAGAATACAATGAGATACTTACCACTGGGAGCGATGACGGCATGGAGCTCATGGAACATCAATCAACATTGCCAAGTTGCAGTAGAATGTCCAAGAGATATTATTGATAAGTTACAAAGAAGTTATATAGGAGCTTACAAATATTAGTATGATAATTTGTAATTGGCTACTAAGAGACCTAGTTCAAACAGAACCCTTCCTAGAAGGTGGCTGCGTAGATTAGGTGCTCTTCAAAAGAATTGTATTTGTATTTGAGATTTGAAAGTTCTATTAATAAAATAAATGGCTCTAAGAGATGAATTATTTTTATGATTTGTTGGTGTTACTTAATAGTTAATTGTTAATACTTTGAAATTATATTAAATAAATTATAACTCTATTATAATATTATATTTACTAGATTATTTCATTACAAGTCTTTTGTTTTAATATTTTATAATTCTTTACTTAGTTTTCTAATTTTCTTTTTAACATACTAACATAGTAATATTTAAGTTTATTAAATAAGTCAAAAATCTAGCCGTTGCAAACTTTAAAAACATAGTAATTTTCAAAAAACTAGAATTTTTTTTTTTTTAAAAAAATACACTAAGGCCCGCGTCCCGTCCCGCGACCCGTCCCGTCCCGTCCCGCCCCGTCCCGTCCCGTTTGGTTGGCGGGACGGGACGGGACGACCGTTTCGTCCCGTTTGTCCCGTCCTGTTTCGTCCCGTTCCGCCACCGTCCCGCCTAAAACTCGTCCCGTCCCGTTAAAATCGTCCCGTCCCGTCCCGTTGGACAGCCATACGCAAAACAGAGAAAGAAATTGATGTGTTAGCACTGATCAAACTAATGCATGTTAAAGATCTTCGGGGGAATCATTTTTTTAAGGGAACATTTCGCAAATATCTCTTTTGGTAAACATATTGACATACTTAGCATATGGTTTCAAGTATTATTACATAAACCTCCCTTCTTGATACTTAAATGTAACAAAATAATTTTGTAGCTTATATTAGGGGTGTATATAGGTTGGGTTGGTTTGGATTTTTTAATTACCAAACAAAATCAATGGTGTTGGGTTTTCAAATCTATAAACCAAATCAAACCAACGAAGTCGGGTTTTTCGGTTTTTTCGGGTTTTCGGGTTTTTTTTCGATAAGTCTTCATAGCACAAAATATATAACTTATGCTCCAAATATTTCTCTAATCCTAGGAGGATACAACTATATAATGTATTTTTCAAGAAAATAATACAATAATATGAGATGAGTCATAGCATTGTACCAAAATATTCAATAACAAAGATAATAAAATCATAAAGAAAAATATTACTAAGTAACAAACCATAATAAATATTAACATAATCTAAAAGTAATACATAAGTCATGCTAAAATAAGTACAACTATAAGTATATTAATTACACAACTAAGCACTAAAGAAAAAGACAAACTAAGTAATGCATTTTCAATATGAATCAATGCAAAACTAAAAAATAGATATCCAACACTATTGTCATTTCTAGTGTTGAATTGAATTTTCTTTGTTAGCATTAGTATTGATGTGAAGTTTATTTGAATTACTACCTTTATGAACTATAAAATTTATTGGACCATTCAAGAATGTTAAGTCCAAACTTGAAATAATATGTTTAAAGATAAACTGTGAAAAAGTTTAAGAAATATTTATGAATTATATTAAAAATAAATATTTATATGTACAAAATATTTGTAAAAATTGAATAAATGTAATATCGGTTGGTTTGGTTTCAGTTTGATTTTTTTAGTTAAAACCAAACCAAATCAATTATAGTCGTGTTTTTTTTTTCTAACACAAAACCAAATCAAACCAACCCATGATCGGGTTTTCTTTTTCCCGGTTTGACTCGGATTATCGCTTTGGTGCAGTATATCAATTTTCTTTGTACACCCCTAGCTTATATATTGACAACTTTGTCCTTTGTATGTTAATGTCATGTTTTATTCTATTTTGTTTAAACAAATAGACTTATGTTATCTTTTTATTATTGCACGGAAGCATTTAAACCTCAATTCTTTCATTTTTTGAGTAAACAAAGCTATATTATTTAATTTACGAGTAGCAAAGTTATCTCTTATATTTACTAGTATTATTTTTGTACAGAAAACTATATACTCAGATTTTGTTAGATTATGAATAAATCCTATTATCCTACATTTCCTCAAATAATATTAGCATTTGGCTCTTAGATTTTTGAATAATTAAAAGGTACACATGACCTAGTAAAGATGGTAAGTTTTTTTTTTTTTTTTTGTATAATTAAAACTTAAAAAGGGAGTAGAGAACTATTTATTTTATTCTGTTAATTTTTTCTTCATTTTTATGTGTATGTGTGTGTGTCTATATATATGTTTTTTATATAAAAAAAAAACTATTTTGAATATATAAATGCCTGCATCAAACAATTAAATTTAAAATAAGACAAGTTAGTTTTGTTACACAAATTAACTTATAGAGGATGAAATTTTCTATTTTTAGGTTAAAAAATATTTTGTTACACTTAAATGTCCAATAAGGGAGACGTGCAAGCCAAAATCTCACCGAAAGGTTTATGAAATTATCCCTTTTAAATTGGGTCGAAGGAAAGAAATAGTTTTTAAAGCAGAAAAGAAGGAAGCTGATGTATGGAAAGCTTCCTTTTTTTTCCCCTCCCCAAATTTGATTTTAGCATAGAATTGTAAGATTATTTCCCCGCGTAGAATGAATAATTTCTCCTTTTATATTTTTGGAAAATTTCTATATTTTCTATGTCGAGACCTTTTCCCGTTGAGAATAGATTTCCAAAAAAACAAATCTATTTCCTGAACGGAGAAGGTTAGAAATTAAAAGTTTCCAATCCTTTATTCAACAGGAGAAGGAAACACAGACAACTATTTATATAGCACTGGACAGCAAACACACACACTTTTGCAAACACAAATCAATACGATACTCCACCAAAAATTGGATTTTGTCACTTTAGTACATCGATGCCAAAATTGCTTGAAACGAGGTTCTGCACTGGAGATTGATCTAGCATTACAACTTATAGGATTAGTTGTACTGACTCTAGGTGCAGGAGATAATGCACATGAGATTTATGAAGAATCACTGGTTTTTCTTCCTAAACTCCTCAATTCCAAATTATTTCACTCGGTCAAAGTGTTAGAGTGTTTGTCTATTGTCACTCTTGTTGCTGCAAGAGACTTTGTAGACACAGAAAGATCAATGGAGATTATATGGCAATTTATGAATCAAGAAACCAAACATTCAACGTACGTGACTGCTGCAGCAATATCAGCTTGGGGTCTGCTCCTTTCGGATATAAATACATGGAGAATTGGTCACAAAAAGTGGAAAGAATTGATCCCTTATCTTCTAAAACAACTAGAGGAAGGTGATGAAGATGTTACAGCTGCTAGTATGGACGTGCTTGCTTTACTTTTTGAAAAAGGTAATCTTGAGAAATTCTCAAATCAAACACAAGAATATTCAAGCATAAAGGACATGAAAGATGACATTATGAAGCATGTAAAGAGAGCAAAACAAGATGCTTCAAAAATTCTGGAGGATGATTACAATAGGACAGCTACTATTACTTTGTGTGGTAGAAGACTTACCTTTAGTACCTGGTCACAATTGAAGCAGATGAATTACATAAGAAGATTTTTGGGCTACGGTTTTACAAATCACATGATGGAAAACAAGTATCTTCACGAAGTCTTTCACTTTGTACCTGCAGCAACGACATATAGTGGCTTAGAACTATATAAATCTGAATATGAAGAGGTAGCTGTTCGGATTTTCTTACCTGATGTAAGAAGAAAATGTTGCAGAAAGAGGATTTATATGTCTCCTAATTCTCTGCTGAACAAGGGAAAGACTCAGTTGATGAACAAGTATAGGAGTATTGCAGAAGAGGCCAAGGCTGGACATTACAATGCTGAGGGAGAGCTCGACTGAAATAGTGTTTCTAAATGTTATCTTTTTTTTCTTATTTTCTTTTTTGAGTTGTCTTAAAATATTGACCACTTTTGACATGTTCTCAACAAGTACTTGTTCGACCAAAAAGTATGAGACCTTTTGTTAAACTAATTGAATAGGAAAATAGAGGGCAAATTCTAACCAAAGATAATTAACTCTAGATCCATAAATGCTAAGTAAGAAAAGTTGGTTAAGGTTAAGCTCATGAACTCACAAGATAACGGAAAGAGTCAAATGAATATGATGAGCTTACATTCATTCTCGACATCCTTACTCTATAATGTAAAATAATGAAGAAAGAAAGAATTCACCATTAACGGCCACGGGATATGTCTTTGTTTATTCCATAACAATGGTTACAGAAAAATAAATGGCAAGGTTCTGAACCTTCTTTCATTAGTGAAGAAGTGTGTGATTTGTGTTCTCCCCCTTCCTTCATTCTCTCACCTAGTATATATACTAGGTATTCTCCTTTACACAACGGTCATTAGCCAGAGTATCTAAATTATTTAACTGTTTTACAGATTGACCCTCTGAAATGTCGTAGCGTCCAATTCACCGTACAAGCATTCTAAGTACACGACCTCGGCCGTGGCAGAGGTGCTCGTTGCTATAGCGTTGTATGAATACGACTTCGGCCCAAGTGACTGAAATTTCTCTTTACGCAGATTCTTGTTTGGTCAGATTTCAACCCATATAGTTAGTCCCTCCGCCTATTGGGGTCGTCTTTTGGCGAGCTCGATAGGCGGACTCTGTAAATTCAGAAGTTGTGAGAAATCTGAGCACTTTGGGCGATGGGCGAGTACCACGTGGCGAAGGAGCGACGTGACGTTTTGAGAGTTGCATCAGACCGTCATATCAGTTCAGGGTGTCATTAAAACTCCTCATGTGTCATTATGGCGTATGTTTTCTATGTATCGCGTCATTTCCCGTGCCCTTTCCATTTTCAAAATGACTTTGTTTGGTTTTCCCGCTCAGTGTATTTATATCACTATAAATAGGGGAAAATCTTACATTTGAATGCCGTGCTTCCCAATCGCTCAAGAAGGACTGGTAGCTTTTCTTCTTCTCCTTCAGTTTCTCACATTTCCCTTTGTTAAAAATTCTTGTGACCGCTACCTTTTTCCCTTATCGTTCCCGATTTTCGCAATCAAAGAAAAGATGGCTAGTGCATCCTCCAACCCTGATAGAGCCGTTGGTGCCCCGGTACCGGAAAACGATATTTCCCTACTCGAAGAGGGAGTGGCTATGGTGGAGGATGAAAGTTTCCCGACGGTGGATGAAGTGGTCACCCGCCCAGGGAAGGCAAGGACTGACTTCAAGAGCCATGCTGAGGATGAGTTTGAACCTGTTATTTCTACGATGGATGCCGCGGCGCTCACGGTGTTTAAAACCAAATGGAGAATCCCCGATCATATTGAACTGGTTCCGGCTGGTCGTGACATAGTGCATATACACTGCCCGGGCTACTGCGCGTTTTATGCATATCCATTTGTCATCGGATACACGCTTCCCCTTCCTTNATCCATTGTCATCGGATACACGCTTCCCTCCTTCCTTAGCGGTGGACTTCTGCCGCTTCTACGAAGTGTGTCCGGCTCAACTCTCTCCGTACGTATACAAGCTCTTCCTTATGCTCATCAAGTACGCGGAGCTGGCCGGTTGAGGAATTTCTCTACAACACATGCTTCGCCTCTTCGCCCCCCATTTTTATAGGGGTACGATGATTCACCTTCGTCACCGAGGAACCAAGGGTTTGGTGGTGAAGATGGATGACAAGGCCAATCGCCGCTTCTGGGAGAACTTCCATGTCCGAACAGAGCATGCAGTATCGAACCCTGTGGGGTTTCCTGAGACGTGGAATTTCGCCCGTAGGTCTTTCTTTTTATTTTATTATTTTTTTTAAATGTCCGTTGGTCCCCTTTAGTGACCTCGTCGACTTTTTGTTTTTGCGGCCGAGAGAGTACCTCCTTCACAAGTTGCTAATATTCGCGAGTGGGTGAGCTCGATTCTGCCCTACGCGATGGGGATTCGCGAATGGGAACCTTTTCACGAGAGGTTTGGGCGCAAACCTTCCGCTGGTGAGTTGGCTTGTTTCCGCCTTAGTTGCTTTGTTCTTTGCTCCGTATTTTCCTTTATCTTATATCTTCGTTTGGTTGAGTTTGTCTCATTGACCGCTACCTTTTTCCCTTATCGTTCCCGATTTTCGCAACCAAAGAAGAGATGGCTAGTGCATCCTCCAACCCTGATAGAGCCGTTGGTGCCCCGGTACCGAAAAATGATATTTCCCCACTCGAAGAGGGAGTGGCTATGGTGGAGGATGAAAGTTTCCCGGCGGTGGATGAAGTGGTCACCCGCCCAGGGAAGGCAAGGACTGACTTCAAGAGCCATGCTGAGGATGAGTTTGAACCTGTTATTTCTACGATGGATGCCGCGGCTCTCACGGTGTTTAAAACCAAACGGTGAATCCCCGATCACATTGAACTGGTTCCGACTGGTCGTGACATAGTGCATATACACTACCCGGGCTACTGCGCGTTTTATGCATATCCATTTGTCTTCGGATACACGCTTCCCCTTCCTTCCTTTGCGGTGGACTTCTGCCGCTTCTACGAAGTGTGTCCGGCTCAACTCTCTCCGTACGTATGCAAGCTCTTCCTTATGCTCATCAAGTACGCGGAGCTGGCCGGTTGAGGAATTTCTCTACAACACATGATTCGCCTCTTCGCCCCCCATTTTTATAGGGGTACGATGATTCACCTTCGTCACCGAGGAACCAAGGGTTTGGTGGTGAAGATGGATGACAAGGCCAATCGCCGCTTCTGGGAGAACTTCTATGTCCGAGCAGAGCATGCGGTATCGAACCCTGTGGGGTTTCCTGAGACGTAGAAGTTCGCCCGTAGGTCTTTCTTCTTATTTTTTTATTTTTTTTTTAAAATGGCCGTTGGTTGTCTCCCTTTAGTGACCTCGTCGATTTTTTGTTTTTGCAGTCGAGAGAGTACCTCCTTCACAAGTTGCTAATATTCGCGAGTGGGTGAGCTAGTTTCTGCCCCACGCGATGGGGATACGCGAATGGGAACCTTTTCACGAGAGGTTTGGGCGCAAACCTTCCGCTGGTGAGTTGGCTTGTTTCGGCCTTAGTTGCTTTGTTCTTTGCTCCGTATTTTCCTTTATCTTATATCTTCGTTTGGTCGAGTTTCTCTCATTGGCAGGTCGGAGGGGAGCGAGAAGGGAAAGGGCTCCTGTGCTTGATTTCCGTCAGCCGGTTTCTTCTGCCAGGCCCGTACCAGTGGTAGCTCTGGATGAGGGCGTCCAAAGTCCGGTCGTTCCGCGGACCGCGTCCGCGTCCGAACATGTTCGTTAGGAGGCTGCTCTTCGGTGGGACACTCCGGTCCCCACAGTTCGTTCGGCGGACGAACCTTCTCATGATGGTGACGAAGAGGCACCGTCAAAGAGGCGGAGGGTAATGTCGGAGGGGGCATCTTTGATTGAAACGCCCTCGAGGGGTGACCCTGTTTCGGCGGTGTCTGAAGCCGGCGGTGATGCCAACCTGGGCGTGGAGGCGATGCCTGTTTCGGCCGTGGAAGAGGCTGCCGTGGCAGGGGGACAAAGTTCGGAGGCCATCGCGATTGTTACGAGCGGTCCGTCGACGTCTCGGCAGGGCCGCACCCCTTCTTCGGCTAATGAGAGGTTGAAGGGCATAGTAGTAGATAACTATGGATTTGATTCTGGTATTGATCTTGAGGATATGAGGATGTTCGAGGAAGGTTTTACTAGGGTCGATGTGAGGGCGGAAGGCCCTTCTCGTGTGCTCGAAATTCCATCGTACTTTAATCTGTTGGAGGAGACGGTGGACTTGGTGCCCCAATTTGAACTTCTGTGAGAGCAGGTCTCTTCGGGAGATTAGTGATTCCGGTTTGTCACACGGTGTGGCTGGGATGGCCTTGAGGGTGAGTTTCCTTTTGCTATTTTCGTTGTTTTGTGCCATTTGCTTTCGCTGATCCTTCCCCCCTTTTTTGACTTACATGCTGAGATCGAGAGTGCTCGTCGGGCTGAGACGCGGGCCGATGTCTTTCTAAAAATGGCCGCGAAGTATCGCCGGTATCACGACAGGTGCCATGAGATGCACGCGCAGCTTAGGGCGGGCGGTAATACTCAATCCGTCAGGCAGGAGTTGGAGAAGAGGGACGAGGATCTGATGCGCTCTATCTGAGGATGTAGCGAGCTCGAGGGGTTGCTTAGGGTCAAAGACGAGGAGCTCGAATTGGGCAAAGGGGTTGCGGCAGAATGCGAGGATCTTCAGGCGAAGGTATTGTCTTTGCGAGCCGAGCTTGAGCAGAATGCCGCTAGAATTGCCAATCTAAGTGCAGAGTGGACGGAGAAGGTGGCTGAGCTAGAAAGGAAGGTGGCCGAGTTGGAAAGGGTCGAGGGAGCCCGAGTGTCGGCTTTGGCGACGGTAGCAGTGCTACAAGACACTATCCGCGTCCTCGGGTCAGAACGGGAATTCGAGAGGGAGACGGCCACACTGAGGGGGGTAAGGCTCAAGGAGCGGATCGGTGAGCTCAAGCGGGATGCCTCGAACCTGGGAGACCAAGTTGTGCCTCTCGAGGCCGAGAAGGCGCAGCTATTGGTTCAACCCCTCCCCCCCCTCAAGAATCTGCCCCTGTTGTTGTCCCCCGCTATTTGTACGAGATATGGGTCCATGCTGAGGCCCAACGAGATATATACAAGGGTTTGTGGGCGGCGGGGAGCGTTCTTGAGGCCGTTTTTGAAGATGCTCGGGTTAAGGCACGCGTGGCTCGTCTTGCCTGCGGTTATGACCCTGCGACACCGAAGGCTGGCGGAGACGCTGAGGTCAAGGACGAGCTTGCTTTCGATGATAACGATGTTGGAGGGAGCGATGGTGGAGACAAAGCGGCCGGACCGAGCGTGAAGGGAGGTGGTGGCGTGGATAGTGATGATGCTGAGTGAAACCATTGTGCATTTAATTTGTCCTTTTGTACTTAGTTTAGTTTTTTTTTGTACTTGGTTGGCTGGGTGGGGGCCTCCTTTTTTGGCTCTTTGTAAGATACTTTTCTTTTCTTTGAATGAAATAGTCGGCTTGTCTTCGTTTGTATGTTTTTGGATTTCCCTTCTCTTTTCATTTTCGAATTTCTTGAATTTTCTCGCAATAAGTCCCTGACTTCTGGTAGTTGATTTGAGTGGGATCGAATTCGACCTGCTAATTTGAACTTGACTTTATTGACCCGAGCGGGGTCAAATTTCGTCTTGCAAATTTGAGCGAAGTCAATTTGGATTTGTTAATTCGATCGAGGTCGAATTTTGTCTTTCCAGTTTGAGCGAGGTCACTTTTGACTTGTTAATTCGAGCGAGGTCGAATTTTGTCTCGCCAACTTGGGCGGGGTCAGCTTTGGCTTGTAGACTCGGGCAAGGTCGAGTTTTGACTCGCTAACTTGGGCGAAGTCAGTTTTGACTTGTAAATTCGAGCAAGGTCAAATTCTGACTTGCCAACTTGGGCGGAGTCAGTTTTGACCTATAAATTCGAGCGAGGTCGAATTTTGCCTTCGCTTGGCGATGGCCAGGAGCCGCATTGGTGTGAGTCGGACGAGGTCGAGTTGTGACCCGTGATGAGTCCGAGCGAGGTCGAGTTGTGACCCGTGATGAGTTCGAGCGAGGTCGAACGTTGACTTATAAATTCGAACAAGGTCGAATTTTACTTTTGCTTGCCGATGGTCGGGGGCCATATGGGTGTGAATTTGAACGAGGTCGAACTGTGACCCGTGATGAGTTCGAGCGAGATCGAACGTTGACTTGTTATTTCGAACGAGGTCGAATTTTACTTTCGCTTGGTGATGGCCGGGGGCCGCATGGGTGTGAATTCGAACAGGGTCGAATTATGACCCGTGTTGAGTTCGAGCGAAGTCGAACGTTGACTTGTTAATTCGAACGAGGTCAAATTTTGCTTTCGCTTGGCGATGGTCGGGGGCCGCATAGGTGTGAATTCGAACGAGGTCGAATTGTGACCCGTGATGAGTTCGAGCGAGGTCGAATATTGACTTGTTTTCGAACGAGGTTGAATTTTACTTTCGCTTGGCGATGGCCGGGGGCCGCATAGGTGTTAATTCGAACGAGGTCGAATTGTGACCCGTGATGAGTTCGAGCGAGGTCGAACGTTGACTTGTTAATTCAAACGAGGTCGAATTTTACTTTCGCTTGGCGATGTGCGGTCTCGGTGGAGTGGTAAGAATGTTGCATGCGGCCTTGCTTTTATTGGAGAATATTACTCGTTGCTGCATCGTTTATGCATGCGTCGGGGTGAGTCCTTGTTTATCTAATCTTGCTTTTATTGGAGAATATCATGCTTTGTTGCATAGTTTATGTATGCGACGGTGGAGTCCCAGTCTATCTAGTCCATTCATTGCTCGGCCTGGAGAGACCGTTGACGGGACGGGCGATGAGCTTACTACTCGGGCTTCCGGGCACCCTGGGACTCTAATTCGAAAGAAATTCGGGCGTGATTCGTAGTGTTTTTAGTCAGCTGAATTGGCGCAGCATCGCCGTGGTGAGCATACGGGCACGCTTTTCGTGTTCATGTTCTGCCTATGTTGGGCAGATTGTACATTCCATGGGCTCTCCGACCAGTCCTAGGATATGGAGATTGTATCTTAATGATGCCGGCTTGTTCTCAGCTGTTTGTCTGTTATTCGTAGCATGGTACGGTGTGGGGGGTATTCCCCATTTGCCGTTTGCCGTGTATGTCGGCTAGCCTTCCTTCGCGTATTCGGGAGGATGTCCCTGTTCTCTGTTTCACTTTTCTCTCTCTTTTTTTAGAAGGAATATTGGTTTAGAAGTACATAGAATCATTTGTTACCTTGGTCGGTTGTTCAGCTGACGAATGAGGGGATTGGCCACGCTTCCCTTGACGACTGCGCTCTTTAGATTTGGGAAGTTCCGTCGTTTGGCAATGAACTAGGGATCGTGTCGCAGGGCGGCTCGCCTGGTTCTGTATTCTGGTACTAGTTTTTGTAGGCTTCGGCTTTGCGTGTAGCCCCGTCATCGGTTGAGCTTTGGCATCTCGTGGGTGGACGATTCACTCCCCCCTCCATTAGGGTCTCGAGTTCGAGTCCCAGTTCGTCTCAGTTCTGGGCGCGCAAAGATGGCAGAAATGTAAGTCATACCACAAACATACAGACGAGGAGTATTTTAATCAGTAAATTATACAAGCATCGTCTCATACAGTAGGAGGGAAGGCAATATGTGCAGGATGTAGGTGTTGGGTACTAACCTGGAAACGGGATTACGGGTGCGTTTGGTGTCGTAGTCCCACCACGATGGCTCATGTTCACAATGCATCAGGGTTGCTGTTGTGGCGCAGCGCAGTTTTCGTGTGCAAACCGGGCATAACTCCGATTTCGCGTAAGGATTTAACCTTGGTTGGTTCGGCGGTTTCGGGGGTTTACCGACCGGTTTCGCAAGTTGACATTCATAGTGAAAGGGTGAAACTTCACAGAACGGGAGATAGAGCTAAGAGCATGCTTGGATCTAGAGGGAACTAAGGCTTTGGCTAGAAAATCCCCACAGACGGTGCAAATTGTTCGACCAAAAAGTATGAGACCTTTTGTTAAACTAATTGAATAGGAAAATAGAGGGCAAATCCTAACCAAAGATAATTAACTCTAGATCCATAAATGCTAAGTAAGAAAAGTTGGTTAAGGTTATGCTCATGAACTCACAAGATAACGGAAAGAGTCAAATGAATATGATGAGCTTACATTCATTCGTGACATCGTTACTCTACAATGTAAAATAATGAAGAAAGAAAGAGTTCACCATTAACGGCTACGGGATGTCTTTGTTTATTCCATAACAATGGTTACAGAAAAATGAATGGCAAGGTTCGGAACCTTCTTTCATTAGTATAGAAGTGTGTGATTTGTGTTCCCCCCTTCCTTGGTTCTCTCACCTAGTATATATACTAGGTATTCTCCTTTACACAACGGTTATTAGCCAGAGTATTTAGATTATTTAACTGTTTTACAGATTGACCCTCTGAAATGTCATAGCGTCCAATTCACCGTACAAGCATTCTAAGTACACGACCTCGGCCACGGCCGAGGTGCTCGTTGCTATAGCGTTGTATGAATACAACTTCAGCCCAAGTGACTGCCGTTTCTCTTTACGCAGATTCTTGTTTGGTCAGATTTCGACCCATACAGTATTACCTTAATCAACTTATATTATCAACTCTTCAATCAGTAATCCTATGAAGTAAAAGCTGACAAGTAACTGGAGATGTTAGGAAAATATGCCTAATTATAGCGATTCTTATAACCTTATTCCAAGACCTTGTAATATTGCCTTCTCAGAGACAATGTAAACACTTACACGTGCAAAAAAGAATAACACAATTATCATGAGTCTTTCCTCCACATCAAATCCCAAATGTTACATTTGCCAAATAAATGGCTCTAAAATGGTTATGTCAAAGGAACTTGATTTCCAGCTCCTCGAATGAACAAACCACTCTGGCTCTCTTCTGTTTATGCATCGAAATGCTTCCATGGCTGGATTCTGCACATTACAGCTCTTCTTCAAGTTTAGAATGCTCCCGGAGACTCTGCAAGTTAAAACCAGAAGACCAGGGAAAGAAAAGAGTAAAGCCACCTGCCTCTAGTTCACCCGTCTGCAGCTTGATGAACATGACCAACGACAATCCTCTCAGTTGTCAATCTATCCAGTTGGGATGCAAAATATGCACAAGTTGTTCGCGACCACAACACTTGTGAGCCAGCTGTTTGCCATGAAAGGAGATGTGCCCATTAGGAACAGAGTAAGTTGAGAAATGGAATTATAGTAGCTTAGTAAGAGGATCAGCCAACTAAAGCACATGATTTCCAGCAGTTATGAAGAGATGCACAAGGATTAAACGAGTACTTGAGACCGAGTAGCAGAAGGGAATTGCATCGCAAGTTCAAAGCGAGCTACATTCCTTGAAGGACATGCTGTAGCTCTCAATGAAATCACTGCTCCTTCTAATTTGGCAATAGTAAGCACAGTTATGAGAGTTAAAACGACCAAAATTGACCCCAACAAGAGAGAATGATTCCCATAGATAACTTGTTCATTCCACAAGAGAAGACATCAGGACGTATAAGCACTATTACAAGATAATCGAACCAAAACATAGAGCCCAGTAGAACTGAACAAGAAGAAATAATGAATAATAGATTACTTTCTAGACACACCAATCAGCTCTTATTGATAGAACAGAGTCACATGACATGTGGAATGAAATAGATATATTAGAAACCGGTTAGTTTAGGATTGAAGTGACCTCACCATTGAGAAACCAAGTTTGACCTTTGGATTGGAACGGCTTTTACAGGATAATTAGCCGAACAATCTGACCCATAAACCGGAATGCCTTGGTTACTTCTCTCAGACACTTATTCTTGTCATCTCTAGACCAATGCTGCAATAAAGATGCAATTGATAGGAGAAGCAGTGAGTGGTGCTTTGAAGCACTGAAACAAAGTCCATGACGCAAAAATCTTAGGCATTTACCTTTGCCAGCATGTTGAATTTTTCACGCACACCTCGCAACAACTCTTCTGCATCCCCCTCCCACTTGTGGAATTCCAACTCTTTTTCCTCTAAGAGTTTCTCAAAGGCCTAATAACATCAATTTAGTAAATATAAAGGAGCTAACTTGCATATTGGAAGTCTCAGAGCCACCATATGACGACATAAATTGACAAAATGCACTAAAATGGTAATTCAAAGTAGCTCATTAAGCAAATTAGCACAAAAAAAGTGCAATAAACTTCAGTATTTAATAAAGGCCAACCACGTCAATTTCAAGTATTTCTTCTTAGTTAACTTTATCTTCAATGGAAAGTGGTCAATCATCACAGAACAAGCAAAAACTTACCAAAAAAATAATTATTGAACAAGCCAAAGTTTCTTTTCTTTCTTTTTAGTGTTATATTTTTTTGGATAAGTCATGTGAAAACCAAAGATTCAAGATGGTAAGCAAAACAAGAATATTTACCTAAATTTTAAGCTAGAAAAATCACAACACAGATGTTATTTAGTTCCTTATACAAAAAGATAGATGTTATTTAGTTCCTTATAAAAAAGAACATAGATGTTATTTAGCATTCGCTCAAAAAATGACCAGCTATTCCAAACTCTGTACCATAGCGATGTACAGTTGCAAATTGGTTCATTCAACTTAAGTAGGAGTTATTTGATTGATTTTTCTAAACCTAGCTTAAGAGACAATCTGGACCAAATTCCATCTTACTTTGAGTCATTTCTAGATTAGAACTAATTGAAGGAGATGAGAATAAACATAGAATTTGCATTTGCCAGCCTAGACTGTTCTGATTTTCAATTTGCATCGTTTTATTTATAGAGTCCTACCTTAGTCATAAACTAGTACTATTTCAGCTTCAGCATTTGCTAGACAAGATAAGAAATTACAGCCACATAATAATTACTAAAGCCTGAACTGACTACCATTAGAAGTCACTTCACCCCCTGCCCCAAAGAGAAAAAAAAAATAGTCCAAGGTCCATCCAATGACAACAAGGAGTATATATCCCTGAGTAACCTTCAAACATGTCAAAGACACCATGTTTTCTTCAAAAGAAATGGTTATCATGACGAAAAGTTATAGGTTCAAGCTGGAATTTAATGAGTTAAACTCTAAAGATGGAAAAAGGATGCATTCAGTTGTGCTCCTTCCCAAATTTTCTTAGCTCGTAAATTGTTTGTTTCAATTGTTATTTTCTAAGCAAGGTCTTCATGTCTGTGTAACAATGGGAACATATGTTATCTAAAGAATCTCAACACGAGGCAACATGATTTGACAATAAAATAAAGCTCACGACAGAGGAAAAATTTTCAGCTCAGAAATGAGCTCAATATGTAATTAAACCCTTAACTGGAGATTTTTCACAAAGAGAATATTTGAAGAAAGACATTTGAAGACCAAGCTTAACTTAATACTTCGTTTCGCCATTTCCAGACAAATGAAAACTCCACAAAAACACTCAGGGGATAATGACTAACACAAGGAAGTTGTACCTTTTTGCCTATGACTTGACCTCCTGCTATGTGCGAGAAATATATGTTGTAGAAGTGGCTGAGAAATAAAGGAGGAGTCTTTTCTGCCAGTTCCTCCAGATAACTGGCGTAACTGACTCCAGGATTGCTCGGTTCAGGAATCTCATAGCCCTGTTGGCTAAACCAATCTAGGTCTTTCGATATACATTCTGCTCGCTCCAATCCAGTCCTTCTGAAGTAGGCATCTAGGTTAAACAGCAAAATAGTATGGCATCATTTGAAATCCAACAAGCAATACTCTAATAGCAGTATTATCCTTTTTTTTCCTTTACACAAATAAATTCATCCCCCCAAACATATTACACTGTTTCTTTTTTCTTCTATCATGAAAATGAGAACCAACAACTCTAAACAAGTTTGTACATAGTGCAAAGAATCTAAAAAAACAATACAACACAAACTAAAAAAAGGGCAGCCCGGTGCACTAAGCTCCCGCTATGCGCGGGGTTCGGGGAAGGGCCGGACCATAAGGGTCTATTGTACGCAATATTACCCTGCATTTCTACAAGAGGTTGTTTCCACGGCTCGAACCCGTGACGCCCTGATCACATGGCAGCAAATTTAACAGTTACACCAATGCTCCCCTTCGATACAACACAAACTAAGCATTTAGTTAATCTTTCTTGGTCTTATTTTAGGGCAGGGGAGGGAATAAATTGAAAGTTCAAGACTTTTGTCATCAGCACACAGGTTGAAACTTGGTGGATAATGGGCCCACCTTTATCCTTCCCCGCTTAAATACTAGGCTTTCGTAACATGTGACATGTGCCTAACCCACACATAACGTGTTGTGCCCTTACCACTAGACCAAATAACTGGAGCTGAAAGTTGAAGACTTTTTGGTGAATGTAACATAATGAACAAAGAAATAATAGCACTCACAAGAAACATCACTGGAGTCATCAACAATGCGCTCAATAGTAGTAAAAACAAGCTTGCTATCAACAAGATACTTGAGAAACCCTTGTATGCTTGGCTGCCAAGTCTCCTCACTACCCCTATCGCCACCTATATTATTATTATCCTCTTCTGAGGAAGCTGATTCAAACCCATTCTCACTCTCGGATGAACTGTCTTTGGCTTTGGAGTTACGAAGTTTCATAGCAACAAACCTCATTTCTTCAGTAATACCCTTTTTCTCACCTGGGTATTGCTTTCTGTACCTTCTCCTCTTCCTCTTCACTGGTGGCTTCTTGGCTAATGATGTAACCCCATCATCTCCTTCTTCTTCAGTTTCAGTCTCAGTTTCAGTTTCTAATTCTGATTCTGAAAGTGTAAATGAGGAGGTTGTGTTGAAGTTTGAACATTGAAGAGCAATGGAAGCTCGGTGGGTCCACTTTTGGTTTGAGGAAATAGATAGGAAAGAAGAAGAATATTTAGTAAGAAGTTGGGGATTTGGGATTTTAGGGAACGACAAGGAAAGGGAAGATTTTGGTACTGGCGTTGAAGAATAAGAGCAGTAGCATGTCAATGTTGCCATTTGTTTTCTCTCTCGAGGTCGAGGGTTTCGCTCTCTTGCTGCCATTCTTCTGTTGTTCCCGTTATTTAACAAAGCGGGCGATAAGTCACACTCATAGTCGCCGTTGGTAAATGCGATTGTAGGTCGCAACGCAATACTCAAATATGTTATAAGTCGCGATACGTTGGTTCCTCAATTTTTCTATTCTTGATTCTCATTAGTCTATTTCTTTATAAATTTTACTATTTATAATTTTTCAATAAAAAATAATTTGTTCACAAAGAGAAAAGAGATTTCTTCGATACAAAGTAACTTTTTCTAATGTAGCATGACACATATTTAAAAAGATTCAACTGATAAAGCACTATTAAGTACATAAATGCATCAACGAATTTCTACGGGCAACATATGTGATTTGGTTGAGATTTGAAGAAAAAGAAGGTTTTGAAATTGAAATTAAAAAAAGTATTTGAAAATATCATGTTATCAAAGAAATTGACGATCGTTAATTATATTGGGGTTACCAATTACCATCAGATTCAGTGGGGTGAAGACACACTTATCAGCTTTTCTAAAAGAGCTAAAATTTGCAAAATAAAATTATACGGTCAGACGTCTCTATAATAGCATTCCTATATAACAACTCTTTACTAAAAGAGTCAAAGTTTTTCCGGAACCAATTTTCATGTTATGTTATAATATATATTCTCTATAACAGCACTTGGCTATTGTACGGGTCGAAATCTGACCGCACGTGGATCAGCATTAAAAGGAATGGCGAGGAGTCGACTAAGCTGTGGTCGTATTCATAAGATATCATAACAATGAGTATCTCGGTCGCTGCCGGGATCGAACTATCAGAAAGCTTGTACGGCGAAGCATATGTCGTGACACTTAAGGGGAACAACCCAACGTACAATCAACAGATTAAGGTATTCTGGCTAAGAACCGTTGGATAAAATGGAATACTTACTATATATATAGGGGGAAGAGAACAAAAAAGGGGGCTTCTCTCCTTCAGGAGAAGGAGGCAGAAGAACCGAAGAAGGCTGCGGGAGAAAAACAAGAGAAGTTTCGGATCTTGGCGGCTAATCTTTGTAATCATCTTTCTTGAATCGATAAAGATAAATCCCGCAGTTGTTAATGGCATTCTTTCCTTTCCTTCTTTATCTTACATTTCGGAACAGTACATCAAGAATGTAAGCATGTCATTTATGTTCGATATCTTTTATAAATCTTAAAAGTTTATGAGCTTGACTATATCTTATTCTCTTATTCGATGTGCTTTGATCTAGAGTTAATTATCCTTGGTTAGGATATATCCTCTATTTTTTTATTAATTAGTTTAGCAAAAAGCTTAACACTTTTTGGTCAAACAATTTGGCGACGTCTGTGGGAATTTTCTAGCCAAAATCTTAGTTCTCTCTATATCTAAAGCCAGCCAGAGTTTCACTTCCCGGTTGTCGTAGCCTCACCCTCTCAGTATAAATACCAACTGGAGAAAGTTGTAGGCAAGCTTTTGAAATAACCAAACCAATCAGGATCAGATCTCTACATGAAATCGAAATTATGTCTGATATCTAAACAAAACCCACGCCTCGCCTGTAGCGATGGGTTCGGCACGTCGTATGAGTACTTAAAATGGGATTACGGCCACTATGCACTTAGAACGTCTGCAATCATATTTGCCGTACTAATGTTATATGCCGATCTATACTTCCACCTCTTAGGAAGGGACAATAGCCTACTGTATGATTCTTTGAAATAACCGGCTTATCCTGCTTTATTTTTGTACCCGTACGCACAGTGTAATTTATGTACAGAGTATAACACGTTTCCCTTATTGTATGCGCACATCAGACGGGATCGGACCGGGACTCGAGCTCGAGATCCCAACAGGCAAGGTAAGTTCAGCCCATAAGAAGCCTAGACGCGACTAACGGCGAAGCCAAACACGGGGCTGCCAAATCTGAAACCGCCATTCGAGTACGGGATGTAACGGGTCGCCCTACAGCGCCTTTCCCCCCTCGCCGACTTACTAGATCAAGGTAAAAGGCAATTTTGTTTGGGATTAACTTGTTATTTTTTCTTTTTTGGATTGGGATAGGAACACGAGCACTCTCACAGGTGGTCAAACAAGGAACAAACGCCGCCGAACGCACCAAGCAAAACCCTCCGCGCCATACCATATTACAAATAACAGAAACGGCTCAGAACAGGCCGACATTATTAAGAAACAATCTCCATAACCTGGGACTGAGCAGTAAGCCCATGGAACGTATAGCCTCTCCAACACAGGCAGAACATGAACTCGAAAATCTCACACGTATGCTCGCCATGACAATCCTAAACCAATTCAGCCGACTAAATATTACGAATCACATACGAACGTCATTTAAATTAATGAAGTCCCAGGGTGCCCAGTAGCCCAAGCAATAAGTTCATCGCCCGTCCCGTCAACGGCCTCTCCAGGCCGAGCAATGAAGGGACTAGATAAACTGGGACTCCACCGACACATACAAACAATGCAACAGCGCATAATATTCTCAAATTTACAGCAAGAATAAATAAACTGGGACTCATCCAGACACATGCATAAACGATACAGCAACGAGTAATGCTCTCCAATAAAAGCAAGGCCGCATGCGACATCCTTACCGCTCTATCAAACCGGCACCTCGTTCGAATTCATAACGGGTCACAATTTATCCTCGCTCGAATTTACACCTTTACGGCCCCCGGCCATCGCCAAGTGGAAGTAAAATTCAACCTCGTTCGAATTCATAATGGGTCACAATTCGACCTCGAATTTACACCCTTACGGTCTCCGGCTGTCTCCAAGTGGAAGTAAAATTCGACCTCGTTCAAAATTCATAACGGGTCACAATTCGACCTCGCTCGAATTTACACCCTTACGGCCCCCGGCCGTCGCCAAGTGGAAGTAAAATTTGACCTCATTCGAATTCATAACGGGTCACAATTCGACCTCGCTCGAATTTACACACTTACGGCCCCCGACCGTCGCCAAGTGGAAGTAAAATTCAACCTTATTCTAATTCATAACGGGTCACAATTTGACCTCGCTTGAATTTACACCCTTACGGCCCTCGGTCGTTGCCAAGTGGAAGTAAAATTCGACCTCGTTCGAACTCATAACGGGTCACTATTCGACCTCGCTCGAATTTACACCCTTACGGCCCCCGACCATCTCTATGTGAAAATAAAATTCGACCTCGTCGAACTCATAACGGGTCATAATTCGACTTCGCTCGAATTTGCACCCTTACGGCCCGCAGTCGTCGCCGAGTGAGTAAAATTCGACCTCGTCGAACTCATAATAGGTCATAATTTGACCTCGCTCGAATTTACAAGTCAAACTGACTTCGCCCAAGTTGGCAAGTCAGACTTCGACCTCGCTCGAATTTACAAGTCAAAACTGACTTCGCCCAAGTTGGCTAGTCTGACTTCGATCTAGCTCGAATCAAGCGAATTAAAACCGCATTCGAATTCCCAAGTAAAAATCAGGGACTCATCACGGGGAAATCTGAAGATCTTTTCCAAAACAAAAGGAGAAGAAAAAAGAAAGTCAAAAGATATGTAACTAAAGGAAAAACGACTATTTTATTCAAAAGATGTACATGCGCAACAGATGTGCCTTACAAAAGGCCAAAAGAGGGCCCCCAAGAAAAGATGAAAACAAATAACGAAAAAAAGAAAACTAAGTACAAGAGCTGCAAAAAAAAATTTCACTCGGCATCGTCTCCACCGCCGTTCTCCCTAGCATCGTCATTATCAGAAGGAAGCTCATCTTCAATCTCAGCACCCTCACCGGCCTCTGTGTCACAGGGTCGTAACCGCAGGCAAGACGAGCCTCGCGTGCCTTTGCCCGAGCATCTTCAAAGGCGGCCTCAGGAACATTCCCCGCCTCCCACAAACCCTTGTATATATCTCGTTGGGCCTTTGCATGGACCCGTAGCTCATACAAACGGCGGGGAACAGTAGCAGGGGCAGATTCTTGAGGGGGAGCCTGAACCAATAGCTGAGCCTTCTCGGCCTCAAGAGTCGCAACTCGGTCTCCCATGCTCGAAGCATCCCGATCAAGTTCACCAATCCGCTCCTCGAGCCGCGATCCCTTAGTGTGGTCGTTGCCCTCTCAGATTCCTGCTCAGACCTGAGGATGCGGATAGAATCTCCTAGTGCCGCCGCCCTCGCCAAAGCCGACACTCGAGCCCCCTAGCTCTCTCCAACTCGGTCACCTTCTTTTCTAGCTCGGCCACCTTATCCGTCCATTCTGCACTCAGATCGGCGACTCTAGTAGCATTTTTCTCAAGCTTAGCTCGTAAAGACAACACCTTCGCTTGAAGGTACTCGCACTCCGCTGCAACCCCTTTGCCCACCTCGAGCTCCTCGTCTTTGGCGTTAAGTAGCTCTCGAGCTTGCTGCATCCGCGGATAGACCGCATCAGTTCCTCATCTATTTTCTCCAGCTCCTCCCTGACGGATTGGGTACTAGCGCCCGCCCTAAGCTGCTCGTGCATTTCACGGCACCTGTTGCGATACCGCCGATACTTCTCGGCCATCGTTATAAAAATCTCGGCCCGCGTCTCAGCTCTACGAGCACACTTGATCTCCAGCATGTAAGTCTAAAAAAAAGAAGAGAGAAAGAGTCAGTAAAGGAAAAGGGCACAAAACAAAGAAAACAACAAAAGGGAACTCATCCTTAGGGCCATCACGGCCACACCGCGTGACAAACCAGAATCATTGATCTCCCAAAGAGATCGGCTTTAGCGGCGGAGCACAGAAGGTCGAACTGAGGCACCAAATCCACCGTATCCTCCAACAGGTTAAAATTCGACGGGATTTCGAGTATGCGGGAAGGGCCTTTCACCCTTACATCAATCCTGGTGAAGCCCTCCTCGAACATCCTCATGTCCTCAGGGTCGATGTTAGAGTCGGATTCATAATCCTCCACCACTACGCCCTTCAACCTCTTATTAGCTGAAGATGGGGTACGGGTCGGCCGAGACGTCGATGGGCCGCTCAGAATAGTAGCGGCAACCCCGGAGCTATGTCCTCCTGCAGCAACAGTCTCTCCCACGACCGAAATAGGCGTCGCCTCCGCACCAAGACCGATATCACTGCCGGCTTCAGATATCGCCAAAGTAGGATTGCCCCTT